TTATTGTGTATTCTTGTCAAATACCCAGGAATTTTTTTTTTTTGTTTTCAAACCCGATTTCTTTTTGGTTTTTATTGCCTTCTATTTGTGTTCTTATGCGCATGCGTTCTTCCGGGTCTGTCTGTGTGTCTTCTTATCTGTCATTTACTGTGCGCCCCAACATGGCTGACATACGACAGTTTCCTGATAACTGAAATTGGGTCCCAATAAATCTTTCCTGATACTGGCGATTAACAAAAAAAAGATATTCCTTTTTATTTTTCTGGTACAATATATGTCCATATGTTATCATATGTATACGGTTAAGTTTATATTTTTTACTGATCTTTCGTTTTTGAGTTACTAAGGTTAATATTTATGGTATGGATAGCTTGCCACTCGTATTCAAGGATACAAGTTTATTAGGGTGCCTAGCAAATCCCTATTGCAGACGCTTGCTCAGGCGCATTTTTGTTTATTCAAAACACATAGACCCCCACCTGTGGTTTATACTGCAACTATGCTGAGCAGAGCTTAGTTACAGTTTCTGGGTAAGTGCATGTTATCTAGCGGGATCAACAATTTGAACAAGGTCAGCAGGCTAAAGCCCTCGGCCGAGATGACTTGTGCCTTCATGCTATCGACGGACCCTAAGTGTTCCGTCTACCCAATTTCACTCACAAGACTTGGGTCAACTCGTTGTGTGCTTTACAGGCACTTTCTAGTCTTCTTTCTAATCCGCCATTTTGTCTTGTTTCTTTTAGTGTTTGAGAAGACATCCGTGTTTTTTAACAGTGTAAATCTGTCTGCCGGACAGTTTATTTGAGAGACTTAAAACAGAAAACGTACTTGATGGTAATTAGAATTAGAAATATAATACACACACGCACATAACAGGCCACTCGTATTCAAGGTTACCCGTCTATTAGGGAAGCTAGCTAATCCCCATTGCAGACGCTGTATTGGTTGAACACACACAGAGCCCACATGGGAAAGACCGTGTTATCGAGCGTGATCAACAATTTGATATATATACATTTATTAAAGACATTTTTATGTTTAACGATAGATACAAGTATTTAAGTAAATGCTCTGTTTATAATAAACAGTATTAAATAACATTTAGCGGCCTGAATGTCCGAGAAATTTTCATAGAAAATATTCATCTTTTGACAGGATTCGAACCTGCATCCTATAGGGAACACGTCATTTACGCTGACGTGCCTTGACCGCTCGGCCACAAAGGATCGTTCGGTTGGCAAGATTGAATTTACTGCTTATAAACTTCAATCTTCCATGAATCTCGTACATTCATAACTGCTCATGGCGTATCAAATGTAAACAAATGACGTCATGAATGCAAACTCAAAATATTCAATGCGATGTGTATAAAGGCAGCCATTTTGTTTTTTCTCCCAAAGATATCTTCACTGTCAACCTGATATCGAAGACTTAAAGAATTACTTAACAGCTGCTACTTTCTCCGAATCTTCACTGCCAACCTCTGATATTAAACACATTACGTACTTCACTGGATTCTATATTCAAAGACTACGGCAAACATGGTCAACAACCCGCCCCCCAATGTTTGTAAAAGTATTTCTAGATTGAATCTTGGATTGGACATTTAAGACCGTCTGTCGTAAAATTTAAACGAAGTATGCTGATAAGGACTCTTGTCATTGTTTTTGGTGTGAGGAAGCCTCCCCCAAATGTTTGTAAATATTTTTGATACACGATAAAATATAGTTTTTAGTTATACTACATCAGTATCAGCGAGAGAGCGTATGGACATTGTGACAGTCTGTTTCATACTTAAAGGCAAACGTCAGGTACATGGCTTGACCATTGCGTTTAGCATGAAACTGTTATATATATATATATATATATATATATATATATATATATATATATATATATATATATATGAATATATATTAGAATCTTCTACATCTTCTATATCAGCACGATCCTGAAAATAATTGGCTCATTGTCTGTTTTGCTATCTCTCTCTCTTTACATATTTTTTTATCATTTTTCTCTAATATATATTTATATATATATATATATATATATATTTATATATATATGTGTGTGTGTGTGTGTGTGTGTGTGTGTATGTGTGTGTGTGTGTGTATAATTTTTTAAAAATGCCGTAAGAATTTTGCAGTTAACAATAAATGTTTTAAAAATGCAGACGACATGCATTTAACGGATGTTAGATTTCATTGAAAAATACACCCTACCCCTACCAAAACGTAACTAATAACTGATGCATCAAAATACAGCGATAATGAAATCGCAAACACCCCTTGTCTAGATGAATGTGTTTGTGTGTATCCTTGGAAACGTGAATTAAGATTTTTGCGGTGCATTTAAAAAACAGTAATTTTAAAAATAGGTTAATCCAAAATTCCCTTGAGGATGAAATTGAACTAAAGGCTTTAATTTAATTACAAAATTAAATTCGAATCTTTTAGCTTCCATTTTTGAAACATGGTTAGAACTGTGCAGCGGACAAACCATTCTTTTTTCATGTGTGTTTTTAGTATCGTATACATTGTGGGTATATATATATATATATATATATATATATATATATATATATATATAGAAAGAAAGGAAGAACAGATGAAATAATAATCCTCTGTTCTTAGCATTTGCTTTTAAGTGCACAATACAAAGTTGACCAATATATTATTATTATATTTTTATTCTAAGAGATTATAATAAATAACGTTCGGAAAAGAAGTAACACTTTGTTTTTAAATTACTTACCATCGCTTGAATAAGTACAATCATCACATTGAAACATGGAAGCTTTTGTGTAGCGATTTTAAAATGTTTTTTTTATGACCTCTTAATAAACATATATATATATATATATATATATATATATATATATATATATATATTCTCGATGCAACTCTAGCTGAATTTTACAGTGTTTTTTTTTTTAATATTTTGTGTAGGGTGTTTGATTCCGAGAAGTTTAAGAATTTCGAAAAATATTTTACCTACGTTTGCTTTTACGCTTTTTAATTTGTATATATATATATATATATATATATATATATATATATATATATATATATATATATATTATACACTTTATCTAAATATATTACACACTTTAAAACTATATATATATATATATATATATATATATATATATATATATATATATATATATATATATATATATATATATATATATATATAAAAGGAAAGAGTTTATAGTAGTTCCAACGAGAGAAAAGTGTGTATATTAAAAAGAAGCAATGTTGAGTCTGGTTAGTTCTTGGGAATTCCATGTCCTGTAGACTTGGATGTGCGATTAGTTTAAGTGATAATGGCTCAGGTTAGTTAAATGGAGAGCCGAGTTCTAATTCCACTTGAATTCGTTTTATTTATTTTCGCGTCAATTTCCTTGAAAAAAAGGTATTCATCTCGTCTTCCCAACCTATGGGCTAATTATTAAAACTTGTGTCACTAAAATATCATTATCTCAAAAAATAAATTTTTACAAACTAAAAATATTTTCTTGTTTTAAATAGCTGTCAAAACGAATCAATAAATTGTGTGAATTGCCATAACTTCATGAAAAAGTTATTGCTGTGGTTTCCAGTTATCTTCACCACACTTTTAAGTTTTTCTTCGCGTAGACTGGCTACGACCAAGTCTAGAGAGCCTAATGTACATTAGGTTGGTATCTCGGTCCAAGCCTTTCACTGTCGAAATCGTTAAATGTAGCCGTACTTCTACTCCAACAGCTTCTTATCTCGCACTTCCCGACAGTGAAACTCCCTTCCCCTTACTTGCTATAATCTTCAAATATTCAAACGTAATGTCAATCGACATTTTCTTATGCCTTGATCCTGATCCCCGTCCTTCCCTTTATTCTTTCACCAAACACCCCCCTTACTTTTGCTCTCATTCTCTGTAAGCCTTTGCGGGCTAATGACGCTCCTGCCTTGCTTGGCGTGAAACGCTTTAAATAAAGATAGTTATAATCTTCAAATATTCAAATGTAATATCAATCGACATCTTCTGATGTCTTGATCTTGATTCCCGTCCTTTTCTATATCCTTTCCTCGGACATCCCTTTTTCATCTTGCCTCAACATCCGTAACCCCTTGCGTGCTAGTGGCACTCCTGCCTTGCTTGGGGTGAAATGCTTATAAAAAAGATAGCTCTTATTATCAAATATTCAAATGTAAAGTCAATCGATATCTGCTGATGCCTTCAACCTGATCGCCGTCCTTCTCTTTATCCTTTCCGCAAACAACCCTCTTTACTTTTGCTTCCATTCTCTGTAAACATTTGCGTGGTAGTGGCACTCTCGCCTTGCTTGGGGTGAAATGCTTTAAAAAAATAATCATTGGCAAGGGTAGGAATTAACGACTTTTCCTCTTGGGTTAATTCGTAAGAATTGTCTCATTAAAACTATTATTATCTCAAAATAAAAATTCTTAATATCTAGAAATATTTTCTGGAATTAAATAACTTGCATAAGGTTGATAAACCGTAAAAACAATTCATTCAATCAAATTCCGTAAGATCAACTTAAAAGGAATTTACATAACAAACTGCATCCCCGCTTTAAATTTTATTCAATTTTTTTTCATTCTTATATAGATAATTTTTGATCTGAACTCCTTAATCTATAATGATATGGAAGGATTTGTAAAAAATGGGATTCTTTCTGGTTGCACGTTCAATTATACAATTCTTATTTACACAAACTTTTAATTTGAATTGTTTTACTCGCTTTTAACAGCTTATCCTCCCTTCGTAGATCATTTAAAGTTCGGAATTATTTTTATATTGTAATATTTTGTAGATAAACAATCGTTTAATGCAACATGTTTTACTAATTAATCCATAGCTGGGGGGAGAAAAGGTTGATTCATAATTTTCCCAAGAGTAATAGCGCGTCATATAACGAACGCAACTGGAATTGAAACTCGGCTCTCCGATTAAAAATTCCGAGCCATTATCCATTTCACCACCCGCACATCCGAACTTTACCCAAGCGGTCACCCATCAAGTTACTGACCAGGACCAATTTTGCTTAACTTCGGTGATTATACGGGAACCGTTGTTTTAACGCGATGTGGCCGTAAGCCGATTAGTCAAAGATTTTTTTTATAGTATTGGCCGCTTAGAATGGATTCAAAATGTATTGAGTTAATCCATATTTAGTTAGAGAGAAACCACCGATTTTTCAGATATCTCTTTTAGTTCGGACACACGCACGTGTATTTCATCCGAATGCCAGACTAATTCTCGAGGCGGCCACAGGTGGCGTTTTGTGTGGTGAGTTATCAGTTAATTGCCTGCAATGGATGGTGCTGCTCCATCGATTTTGTGTAAATCCTAGACGATTTTACTAACAATTAAACCAAGTTAGGTGCAAGTGTCCGTGATGGTTTTAAGTGCAAATTCCAGCCAATGGAAAAAAATTGACTTTGCAAAAACAAATATACTGGACATTTGGTAGTATATCTCTGGACATCAAAGTATCGTTCTGGCTTCATTATTCTATCCATACTTTAAAAAATCCATATTTTTTGTTTTGTTTTGTTTTATTTACGGGGTGATGCATTTATTAAGTTTCGTCTAACCACTTTCATTTCCGTTTTTTTTTTTTCGGAATTATAATCATGGCTCCACGCAATTTGTACCTCTAAATAAATATTGTATTTTTTCGTACCTCTAAATAAATATTGTATTTTTTTCGTACCTCTAAATAAATATTGTATTTTTTTCGTACCTCTAAATAAATATTGTATTTTTTCGTACCTCTAAATAAATATTGTATTTTTTTCGTACCTCTAAATAAATATTGTATTTTTTCGTACCTCTAAATAAATATTGTATTTTTTTCGTACTTCTAAATAAATATTGTATTTTTGTTATGTCAGTTAAACCCTGTTCTGCCAAACAACCTCCTCTTGGCTTCAATATTCCCTGTGTGTGTCAGATTTTCCAAGCAATCTTTTCTCATTAATGTGTCCTATGAATTTCAAGTGCTTAATTCCGATTATGATTATAAGTGTTCTTTTTGTACCATTTTCCTTATTCGTTGCTTGAGTGATTCATAGTATTCCCAGCATCCTCCTGTAGAACCACATTTTGTTAGCTCAAGTCTTCTCTAAAACTTTGAGAAATTTTAGCTGAAAATTTAAAGCGGCATATTACAAGCAGACAGCTAGTGAAAGATAGATCCATCGATCGACAGATAAATAGATATGAAGAGACCGAGATAGATAGATAGATAGATAGATAGATAGATAGATAGATAGATAGATGGAGACAGAAAGACAGACAGTGCCATGCATATAGATAGATAGATAGATAGATATAGACAGAATGGGCTATAGAAATAGAGAGAGACATCGATATAGTGCGATAAATGAAATAAAGACAGATACGTATATATCAATTGAACGAGTCAGATAGATAGATAGATAGATAGAACGATAGAGAGAGCGATACATAGATAAATAGTAAGCAGATTGAGATAGATAGATATATAGATAGATAGATATGAACAGAAAGTGTAGATAGATAGATAGATAGATAGATAGATAGATAGATAGAAACAGACAGACAGACAGTGATAAAAACGTTGATAGACAGACTGTGATCGATAGATAGCTCGTTAACTAAGATATGTCCTGATTTTGTTTGTTCTTCTTGCCTTCAGCATGCCCTGTGTGTGTCAAATTTTCCATGCACTCTTTCCTCATTATGTGTCCTATAAATCTCAACAGTCTCTTGTGTTTCCATTTTCTCAAGTGTATTCTCATCATCCTACTGTTGGACTACATTTTTCCTTATTCACTTCTCTTCTTCATCTATGAGTAAATTGTCTAGCATCCATTGCCATATAGCTGAACGATATCTAATGATATCTGCCTGTTTCTAGGAAATTTGTTCAGCTTTTCGGATTTGGGTGTCACACTATTAATGTCCTCTTTTAAAACACTTCCTGGATATTTAAATTGTAGCCGTTGTTTGATTTTTGCAAATTGTCGTGGAAGAACAAGGAAAGCAGTGAATAAACAAACTAACAAGTTTGTTTAAATGGTTGCTAGAACAGGGATTAGGACGCAAAATCTACCCAGAGCTGAAAAGGCCAGGACTATAATTATAGTATTATAAGAATCCTAGAAAACCACAGCCGCGCAAAAAATCTGCGATGGATCAGATTGTTACCTAAATAACAAGAGAAAACCGACTCATCAGTTTATTTTGTATAATTCTTTAGTTCTTCACTGCCGTTGGCTAAATAGACAAATTTGCGTTTTAATTTTAACTCTTTTACGAAATAAGAATAGAATAGGCATTTGAAGAGTCTGAGAATATATGGAGAGATAGACAGACAGGTAGGAAGGTATGTAGGAACAAACTGAGATAGATAGATAGATAGATAGATAGATAGATAGATAGATAGATAGATATGAGCCAGAATGTGACATAGAGATAAAGAGAGAGCGAGAGATCAACAGAGAGAGAGAGATCAACAGACAGTGAGATATATATATATATATATATATATATATATATATATATATATATATATAGAGAGAGAGAGAGAGAGAGAGAGAGAGAGAGAGATAGATAGATAGATGAAGATAGATAGATACTGAACAGACTGAGATAGATAGATAGATAGATAGATAGATAGATGATAGATAGATAGATAGATAAAGCACACACAATGATAAATAGAAATAGAAAGTGTGATATGAACAGAACAGAGATAGATAGATAGATAGATAGATAGATAGATATCAAAGGAAGAGTCATAGTTTAAAAAAGAGTGAAATATATATATATATATATATATATATATATATATATATATATATAGAGAGAGAGAGAGAGAGAGATAGATAGAGATAGATAGATAGATAGATAGATAGATAGATATCCAAATGAAGAGTCATAGTTCAAAGAGAGTGAAATATAAAGATATATATATATATATATATATATATATATATATATATATATATATATAGAGAGAGAGAGAGAGAGAGATAGATAGATAGATAGATAGATGATAGATTGATAGATATGGACAAAATACGATATAGAGATAGAGAGAGTGAGTTCAACAGAGAGTGAGAAATGCATATATATATATATATATATATATATATATATGGAGAGAGAGATAATGAGAGAGAGAGGGAGAGGAATTGAAGATAGATAAATAGATATGTCCGGAGTGATAAATATTATATGATTTTTCAAGCATAATTTCATATTTATTTATCTCTACATGGGGAGAGAGTTAACACTGCCTGAGTTGAGGCGCATTGATATACATTAACTGAAACCACCGCTTAAGTCCCCGACAAGGATGTTTCAGTTTATCATGTATTTTGGTCTCTCAAACTATATTTCTCCGAGAAACTTTTGCAAACTAATACTGATATAATGGTCTTGATGCTATGACAAGAGATTTTGTGAGTATGGTATTAATCAGCTTGGGCACTCGACGGTAAAACTTGCGTCAATCACAGCGGCGACGATATGGAAAAGGGCTACCATCGTATACTAACAGATTAAATTTGGAAATGTTTGTAGATTAGACTTGGAACTCTTTTACATAGACGTATCGGTCTACATATTCTTATCTGGCTGACGCCTATCTATCTATCTATCTATCTATCTATCTATCTATCTATCTATCTATCTAAGTCTGTTCCTATGTATCTATCTATCAAATATTTTTGTTGTTTCAATTATCACTGTCTTACTCTATCTATCTATCTATCTATCTATCTATCTATCTATCTATCTATCTATCTATCTATCTATCTATCTATCTCAGTCTCTATCTATCTATCTAAGTCTGTTTCTATGTATCTATCTATCTAATATTTTGTTGTTTCAATTATAACTTCTTACTCTATCTATCTATCTATCTATCTATCTATCTATCTATCTATCTAAGTATGTTCTATCATTAATCATCTATCTATCTATCTATCTATCTATCTATCTATCTATCTATCTATCGCTTTTAACGTTTCTATCTATCTATCTATCTATCTATCTATCTATCTAATATTTTTGTTTGTTTCGATTATCTATCTATCTATCTATCTATCTATCTATCTATCTATCTCATTCTGTGCATATATATATTAGCAGCATGACCCGGCGTTGCCCGTGCTTGTTTCAAAAATCGTACAATCATACAGCAATCGCTATCACTTGACTTAAAATATTTTTGTCCTTCGTTGCCTTTAAAGGAGTGCCCTTTGCCGTGCTGATGTTGCTACATGCCTTACTTCTTGCCTATCTCACACTGCGAATTTTTCTAAGCTCTATACTAAACATTAAATCTGTTACGAAAAAAGTACTAAACAAAATGAACACAAAACGATCAGCTTTCAAAAAGGACTCGTAACTGGAAAAACCGAATGAAAAAAGAATGTTAACAACAAAATAATTTTTCACACCCAACCCAATTCTGCGGAATCAGAATCAACGTTTAGTTTAAGCAAGTGAATGAGCCAATTGGAGTAAAGTGCCAATTAAAATTTTTCCCACTATCGATTTTTGCATGCTAGCATGCTAGTTAACGTTTGTGTAAGTCCGTTGTTGACTCTCACGCTGGCCAATAGAATCTTCCTGCCTATTCGTGGCAGCCAGCTATAGGCTCTCACTCTGGCCAGTAGAAAATGGCCGCAAAGTACATGAAAACTGCCGTAGAAGCATGAAAAATCGATTATTTCCACTGTCGATGGGAGTTGGGAATTGCAAAGTCGCCCTTGGCCTTCCCGCTAACTTGGAGCATGTGCAAATCCGTCGAAAATTGCGGCCGTGAATTCGTTACACGCACACACATTCTGCCTAATATATATATATATATATATATATATATATATATATATATATATATATAATAGCGTATATGCAGAAAATGCATATAAAATATCTAATTTTTTAAAATTTAGCTAGAAAGCATGAAGTCAAAAAGAAGTTCCACAAGCGAGAAGTGTGAGAAGAGAAACTCTTAACATAGGGTTACATCAAGCCAACTCAGGTGTAAATTGAGATCTCGATGCCAGTCTAGTACAGTAATTAATTTAAGAAACGTGTAGACACTAAAGCCAAAAGTTCATCCAAAGAATAAGCATAAAAGTATCTATAGAAAAGACACAGAGAGGCAACCTTACTGAAGCCGAACTACCAGATCAGGACCAATAATATTGCAGATTCTTCTTTAGATACACTAAGACCTCAAGGACAGCAATATTCTAAACATGGGCGGATATACAAATACAGATGTTAAGAGATGGGCACTGATCATGTAAGCATTCTATACAACATCTCAACGAATTTCTCATAAAAAATAGTATTTTTGCTTTCTCTCCCGAGGTCAATGAATTGGGGTTGAATCGGTGCTTTGAAGTTCTATGCCGATGATATCAGTATCCATACACTAGATAAGAATGATCTTGAATCTATCTTCCCCTATTGTAGGAAGAATAAATAAATCATACATATTATAAAACCCAGCTTTTGTGTGTGTGTGTGTGTGTGTGTGTGTGTGTGTGTTCTTTTATATATTGGATCGGATTTCCTACATTTTTCAACCGATTTCAACAAAATTTCACAGGGCTACGTAAAATTACCTTGCGGTGGTTCTGACAAAAATTGGCAAAATGCAATTGTTTTTGCAAGAAATCAATTTGAAAACAAGATTAAGAGGCATCGCTGTCACGAGAATGAAAGGGGGGCAACTCATATCGAGTTATAAAACCCATGTTGTTTGTCTGTATGTGTGTGTGTATGTGTGTGTTCCTTTATATATGGGATCAGATTTCCTACATTTTTCAACTGATTTCAACAAAACTTCACTTTTTTTTTTGGCAGGTAGTGTTTCTTATTGTCTTGCACTTTTTTTTTTTATTTTTACATTCAGAATGCTTTAAAAATTCCATTTACAAAACAATTGTTTATAATAAAATTCTATTCAATCGGTAGACTCATAACGATTGGAAACAATGTTTTTTTTTTTTGTTTGAGTTTGGGTTTGACCAATTCTTAAAAAAAAAAAAAAAAAGCAAAAAAAAAAAACTAATTAAGACATGCGTGTCCGTCAACCTTAAACAATAATCTTTGTCAATTTTATTTTTCAGTCTTTATGATGGTCGATACTGGATCTATCTCTTACTGTTACATCCCCGGGCAACTACTGCTAGTAGTTAATAAAATTGCTGTGTTCTGGCAGAGACGGTAGAAGTATAGAGTTGAAAGAACAGAAAATCCAATCCTAAGTAGGAAAAGTTATAAATTTCTATTCCTGTTCACAAGAGCGGAAGGACTCTGAAACTGACAAACCTACACCCCTGTGCAAAATAATTGAAACAAAAGAATAATTCCAATATTATTTACTTTTTTCGTATTCTTCCAATGAAAAATGAGCCAGTGCACATCTTAATACTTCGTATGTTCTTCCCACGAAGTCGTTCCTTGCATATTGACCACAGATTCTCGATTGGATTTAAATCAGGACAGTTTCCGGGCCAGTCTATAATACTTTGATTTGCTCACTAGTAAGGCTTGCCAGTGTGTTTGTGCAGCGTTACAATTTTCATACGCTTCCTTGGAGTAACGTCTATCTCAGACAATGGCCGTAGGACAACTAATCGACAGTCGAGACAATAGCGTTTGGGCGTGATATAAATCTGATGAAAATAGCTTCATATTACTGCGCGCCACTGCAAATGACCTAATCTGAGGAAAAAATAGAAATCGATTACACCCTGTCACTCCAGTGGGTATAAAACTGGCCGTCTGTCGAAAGAATGGAAACTAAAGCAGTTGTTTCAATTAAGGTACACAAGGGTGGATGTCGACCAAACAGGAGACAATATGAACATTTCCAAAGCAGATTATCAGATATTTAGAGTATAGTTTCTGTTTTTGATCAGGCCTTGTAGGCTAACAGAATGGAGAAAATCTTGAAGCATGCTCGATCTGCATCTCACCATTAAATTTAAAAACGGAAGGCTCAATGTTATCAAGTGTGCAGAGAGAATTTTATGAGTAAACGAGGAGCATTATACAAACAGGGATGCTTTGAACATTAAAAAATATAACACAAACTCCTACTTTAAAATATAGATGTATGCCTACGGCAGTAACGTATAAAATGGTGGAGCTTCAGACTGTGAAGTACAGCAAGCACCAAATGAACATGGCATAGTAACCTTTTGAAAGACGCGGGAGAAGAATTTCTAAAAAAACAAAATATTAGTATATTCTGGAAAGAAAATTATCGAAAAATTTATAATATCAAAAACAAACATATATATATATCAAAACCGTGATGGTGTTACTAATTTTTTCACCTTTGTCTCTGTATATATTTCTGAGATGCGATATTATAACTGTTTAAATTATTGCATCGCTCGAGCTGTTGTCCTCATCATTATTGCTATATTCACGACGTTTCGGCCGTTATACAAACCGCTTTCTTCAGGATCTGTCCCTATTTCTGAGATGCTGTATTGAAACTGTTTACATTATTACATCGCTCGAGCTTTTGTCCTCGTCTTTATCACTATATTTGCGATGTTTCGGTCGTTGTACAAACATCTTTCTTCAGGACATGTCTATATACTGAGATGCGGTATTGTAACTATATAAATTATTTACATCATTTGGATTGTTGTCCTCATCATTATTGCTATATTCACGACGTTTCGGCCGTTGTACAAACCGCTTTCTTCAGGATCTGTCTCTATTTCTGACATGCTGTATTGAAACTGTTTACATTATTA